TATACACAGACTCAATGATTTACACACTTTAGCATTTATAATATAACTAGGGCTTTCCCGTGGCTCCGCTTGAGTAGTATATGTATACTAGCTCCCATGCAATTTCAATATCATCGCCTATTTTCAACCCCAGAGAGTGTAATGCCCAAAACATTAAATTATAATTGTCGTCATTTTCAATACGCGACAGTAAAATGAAAAGTAATCTTTACTTTTAATTTTACTGTAGATATAAAAACAACAAATCCATACTATACTAATATTATAAATGTGAAAGTGTGTATGTTTGTTTGTTTGTCCTACTTTCACGTCGAAATAGAGTGATGGATTGGAGTGATTTTCTGCGTGGAGGAAGTCAGAGGGCTGGAGAGTGGCACAGACTACTTTTTACCGCGGGAGATCATCTCATTCCCACGGGAAAACACGTTATAATTCAACCCAAGAAAATATTTATGATCAGAATTACTTGAAACTTGGTATTAATGCTCTTCAGTAGTCAATACAATTAAATAAATACGTGTATAAGCATTTTTCGAAATTCATCCCATAAGGGGGTAAAATAGGGGATGAAAGTTCGTATGGAACCTACTTTTTTAGAGATTTTTTGCAGTTTTAGCGCGAGCGAAGCCGCTGGTTCTGCTATATTATCTATACTATTATTATAAAGAGGTAAAGTTTGTGATCTTGTGAGTTTGTGAGTTTGTGGGTTTGTGAGTTTGTGAGTTTGTGAGTTTGTGACGTTGTAGGGGGTAATCTCTGGATCTACTGAACCGATTTTCAAAATTCTTTTACCAATAGAAAGCCACGTTCTTTCTGAGTGTCATAGGCTATATATTAACCCGAAAAATGAAAAGACTTTTTCGTGGTAGTCGGATTTGCAAAGTAAGTCGGAGAAAAAACGGTCGAACGAAAACGTTTCTTACGAACGCTGCCTTAACGATGAGAGATATATGATTATGTTCTAGAGAAAAGTTGTAGAGCTTAATAATGCCTACAAAAAAGTCAGCGACAGCATATGTCTAACTTTTATATTTAAGTCACAAAAAGTAGTTTTTTATATTAAAAAAATCATTTAAATCGGTAGGTCATGTTTATTGGTCATATTATCAACAATTATGAATTCTTATCAAAATAAGTAAATTTATCGTCTAAAATGTTTAAAATAAAAGACTTTTCCCTTTTACTGCATATAATTTGGACAAATGGTTAAAGAGATAATACAACATATTCGTATGTATGGACGAACCCGAGCGAGCTGTTTATCTGTTTTTCTCTTTGTACGGGCTAATCTCCGGATCTATTGGACCTATTTAAATGAAATTTTGCATGGTGGTACCTTATATCCCCGGACAACATCTTAGATACTTTTCATAAATTAAAGAGTTCCCGTGGGATAGTTAAAAAACTATAACAACTTATACAGCTTAGTACACAAAAACTACTGATTGGATTTTAATGAAACTTTACAATAATATAGTTCATACATGACAAAAACAAATCAGCTACTTTTCATCCCGGAAAATTAAATAGTTTCCGTGGGATAGTCAAAAAACTATAGTAACTTATACAGCTTAGTACGCAAAATAACTGATTGGATTTTGATGAAACTTTACAATAATATAGTTCATACATCAGAATAACAAATAGGTAACTTTTTATCCCGGAAAATTGTACTTTTCCCGTGGGATAGATGTTTTTGTATATTTGTAACGTATGTACACAACATAGACCCCAAAACAATAGTTATTAAAAAAATTCCTAATTATCTGTTTGCCTGTATGTCTGTTTGTCTGTTTTTGTGTGTGCGTTTCACGCGAAAAGTAATGTACTAATTTCAACGAAATTTGGTGAAGTGATAACTTATTACTCGAGTCAACATTTAGGGTACCTTTTGTATGTATGTATGTTGTATTCAGCCCTTTTTAACACATGCACGGGCCTCCCTTCAGTACGAGGTGGATCAGGCCATAGTCCACCACGCTGCCCAAGTGCGGGTTGGTGGACTTCACATGTCTTTCGAAAACTTGCTAGGTTATGTCAGACATGCAGGTTTTCCTTCACCGTTACGACAAGTGGTAACTGTGTTAGAAATGATTCGCATATGAAAATATCACTCGGTTTCCCAAGTGAGCGCGTTACCACTGGGATACTACTGCCTAGATACCTTTTACTTAAAGAAAATCTTTCTTTCCCACGGGAAAATACAATAACTGGTTTTATCGAGTCCTCCCTAGAAACCTTCCTCTGACTAAGCCTTAAGACATACATCAAGACAATATACTAAAAAATTGTAGGTCTTGAAAAGTCCTACAGAAAAGTTGTGAATAGTATATGTCTATCTTCTAAGTTACACTCGCAATATTTATACTTATCTATACCTATAATAAAACTTAGTCAAATCGATGTGCGCGTTTCACGCAAAAAGTACTCAACCAATTTTAACTTAATTTTGTCATAAAACTTAGTGCTCGGGTCAACATTTAGAATACTTTTTACGACAGGCAAATTACTCATTCCCACGGGAAAATACAATAACTGGTTCTATCGAATTGTCCTTAGAAATTTATTGGCTAACGTTGGCTCAACCTTAAGAGATAGATCAAAACATTGTACAAGAAAATTGTAAGTCTTAAAAAGGTCTATAGAAAAGTTCTACATAGTATATGTCTATCTCCTAAGGTGCACTCGCTATAACTATTTTCATTATTATATATTTCTGTTTTATTATACGTTATTTATTATATCTGAATATAGGTACATATATGAATAATAAAACTGTAGAGGTCGAATGTCTGTACATAGATGGTAGAAAAAATTGCTAAAAAACGAGTCAGTTCTCTTCTTACATCCCGTAAGGAGAGAAATAGAACAAATCCAGATTTTTTCAATTTTTTTGTTTCTCTGTCCGTTTGTCTGTTCGTACGGGCTAATCTCCAATACTATTGAACCTATTTAAATGAAATTTGATACTTTTCATTCCGGAAAATTAAAGAGTTCCCGTGGGATAGTTAAAAAATTATAGTAACTTATACAGCTCAGTACACAACAACTTATGCCCCTAATTTAGTAAAATTTGGCATGCTGATACCTATACCTTATAATGCAGCTCAAACAACAGGTTACTTATTTTATTTTATTTATTTTATTTTTATCCCGGAAAAATGAACGGTTCCCGTGGGATAGATCATTTTGTGCTTTTCTAGAGGTGAACCCGAGCGAAGCGAGGGTGAGCCGCTAGTATATTATATAAGCTTCCAACCCTTTTAAGTAACCCCGGTTTTTAAAAAATCAAGGGGTTAACCTTTGATTTTGTCATAATGTTCCCTGCTTTCTAATAAGAATACCTAAGAGGATCGCTTTTATACATACATATTATATCAGATCATAATAATTTAACACATTACAATCTCCCGTGGCACATTCCTCTCTAGTATTATTAGGTTTAGCACGACACTAGACATGCACAGGTATTATGATGACGACACGTTCGGCTTAGTTTGTAGTGACCCTACTTGCTGTGCCAGCGGTCGTGAGTTATAGTCCCGCTGGGAGCATTCATTTGTGTGATGAGCACGAATATTTGTACTCCAGTCATGGGTGTTTATATTTATCTATACATATAATAAAATTGTAACTAAGCCGAATCTGTACATTAAATATTTTTTGGAAAATCTTATTGAAATAGACATTATTATCGATACAGAGGCCAAATCTATAGTTTTTAGAATTTTTGTCTGTCCGCCTGTCTGTTACCGCATCACAGAAATATAAAAGAGTATACTAATATGTAAAACCTAAGAATTTGCTTTTTGGTCATCTGAACGCGGTCGGAGACGCGGGCAATGCTAGTACTGTATAAAAATATTATGTAATATCTGCAAAATTATATTTATATAGACAATATATTTATATAGACAAATTATTTATAGTGCTCATAAAAGCTATTATTCTCTATTAATGCACAGTTCACGTTTCGCTTTCCAATACGAAGATGTTGATGCTCTAACTCTGGAAAGAATAGAAATGCTACGAATTTAGTTTATTCAAATGTACATACACATTAGAATTTTGTATGCAATAAATACACATCTGCTTTATAGAATTAAGTTACTCCAGTTTTGTGTTTTATTATAATTCACTTCATGTGATTTTACTTACGTAGAATATAATATAAAATTCTGTCTGTCTGTTACCGCATCACAGAAAAACCACTGGAGGGATTTTGATGAAATTTGGTATGGCGATAGCTGGTTATTCGCGTCAACATATAGGATACTTTTTACGGGGGGAAAATGTCTCATTTCTGGGAAAAAATACAAAAACTGCAATGTAAGAGTATACTAATATGTAAAACCTAAGAATTTGGTTTTTGGTTATCTGAACGCGGGCGGAGCCGCGGGCTATGCTAGTCTAATATATAAATATCTCGTGTCACGGTGTTTGTGGGGACTCCTCCGAAACGGCTCGAGCTATTTTAATTTTTTTTTTTTTGGTAGGTATGATAATAAAGTATTTTTTACTGTATCTTTGTATGAACAATATTTAAATAATTTAATATTATATATATATCATGTAAACCAATAGAATTTTTTTTGTAGATTAAACGCGAGCGAAGCCGCGGGTTCTGCTAGTAATATACAGGATTCAGTTAGTAAGATTCAGTTGCAAAAAAACTCGAAAAAGTCTTGTACTTTTTTTAGAACTTTTTTAAGTTGTTCAGTTTGAAAATTCTCAAAAATTCAGAAAAAAATGTATAACTCAAAAACTACGGACAATCGCGTAACAAACATGGGGGTGATTCGGGTACCCCAAGGGATGCTCTATCTCTGGACTTCCGCTTGACACTACTTTCTGGTACAACCTGTACAATATGTATATAAATTATATATGTGTAGTTTATCTGGTATCTATTAAACAAGCCTCGTAACTTACCATGAAGCTATTATAGCATATTTATTTATTAATGTTTATAATTGAATAGACTTAACTCCTTAACCCACCTGCGCAATCGCCTTCCTCGTACAGCAGAAGTTAACGAATGTGACGTTAACGAAGTCAGCCCCGTAGCACACAGTCACGGTCTTTTCTTCGAGTGAACCCTGAGCTCCTATTAAAACGATGTTCCGTATTTTTTGGTCCTGCCGACAGAGAAATAATATTATACAAACACAAATTCGTTTAAAAGTTGTGAAAGGCGTTCGTACAAAAATTGTATTATCAATAATACAATTTTTGTACGAACGAGAGTTTATATATCTATATTATGTAGGTATTACTCTCTTATAATCTAGGAACAAATAAGATTTATGTAAGTTATACTAATTAGCTGTTTTTTTTTCTATCTAATTTACATAAATGAATAAAGAGGTCGATGGCAATGAAATTGAATTATTATTATTCTATCAAATATGCCAAATATTTAATTTATTCAGTCTTCTAAGGTCGATCCATTAAATCCTACAAAAAGCAACATCGCTCCTGGGTGTTTTGATTATTATTTACTTTTTATTTGTTTGACAAAGCTTGGCTCGCATCTTGATAATAACAAAAGTATATTTTTCTTTTATAAACTATCAAGTTATAAAGGATTTATTATATGTATGTATATACATATTTTAATCATGTATTTTCAGGATCAAAATTTTTACAATTATATTTTTACCAAGAAAAATAAATTGCTCACAATATTAGAAATCAAATTATACAATAACAAGCGTATAAAATAAAATATACAAGCCAACAGCTTTGTTTTACTAAACAGAATATACAATTGTAAAATGTAACAAAGAGAATTTTCAAAGACACCGATTAACATAAGAAAAACAACAACAACCGAATGTACCAGATACAAACAATTCTTTAGAGCATAAATACTTTAAGTGGTAGCAGTTAAAATTAAGTTATGGCAGTTAGGATGAATATAAATATCCTTGCAATTGATCAACATAAAATTTAACTATAACAAAGTATAATGAGTGTATGTATAATGTACATACAATATACATGTATAAATGTATTATGTAATCATATATCAGTGTGTATATAATGAAGTTTGACTCTGCGACCAAAAGCGACATATAAATTACTTATAATTTTCATATATTTTCAATTTAATAAAGAATAGTCATAAAAATGTTCATATCCATGTATGTATATAATTAGTAATATTAATTTATATCACTTAACTAACACTTAACACACTTCCTATAACATCAGCTATCTTCCAGTAAAAGTCCCGTCAAAATCAGTCCAGCCGTTTCAGAGATTATCCGGAATAAACAGACAGACAGACAAAAATTTATAAAAATTTTAAAATTGTGTTTTTCTTATAAGTACCGTACCTATATATAATATTTCATATGCATTTAGTAAAACGCTGTTATTTTGACATTACAAACAGACACTTCAATTTTATTTATCTGCATAGATTTTTTATCTTTATTGAAACTTTCCGTGTACCTTAAGGAACATACGAAAAGTTTTTTGCTGAATTGGTCGAGCCGTTCTCGGGTTTTGCGCTTAGCAACATTCATTTATATGTATTTATATACAGATAAGTAAAGCTCGGATGGATGATAAGTAGTTGAATAAAGCTGAATAGTAATATTCTTATTAAATGTAAGAAAATAAAGAAAAATTATTAAATTCAACCACTGCGAAATAGAACTTTACTTCATAGAGTTAACACATAGCGGTAATAATAAAATGCTTTGAATTAAAAAAAATATTCTTCGTATATACAAAAATCTACAATTCATCACGCCCGAGGCAAAACACTTATTTGCTTAATTTATTGCTTCCTACTTACTTCTTTGCCTTTTGACTTAGCTGATGCAATTACTTATAATGAAAAACAATTATTCTTCTTTATGCCTAAACCAATTGTAATTGTTATTAAGTAAGCTCGAAAATAAGCTCATCATTAAATTATTTTAAATGAAGTCAAAAAAGTGCTTTTTGGATAATTCATTCAAAGCTTTGGATATATTTTACTTGAAGATAACTTAAAAAAATTCTTCAATAATAATTTGTTAATTAATTAGCAAATCATAAGGATTCAATTATTGGCTTTAATTAAGATGGTCTTAATGGTAACATAATAACTGGGTAGATAAAAAAATATCCAGAAATAATAAACAACTTTTTCCGTGTACAATAAAAATGTTATATACCTATGCAAGAAGCTTTTATATGTATGTATGTATGTATGTATTTGAATCTATACAGATAAATAAAATTGAAGTGTCTGTTTGTAATTACAAATTAACAGCGTTTTACTAAATGCATATGAAATTATATACTGTAGTTATAAGAAAAACACTTTTTTTTGTCTGTCAAACTGTCTGTCTGTCTGTCTGTTTGTTCCAAATAATCTCAGAAACGGCTGGACTGATTTTGACGTTACTTTCACTGAAAGATAGCTGATGTTATAGGGAGTAGTAATAGCCACTTTTATTTTAGAAAAAAATGAGGCTTCCGCACAAAAAAATATAAAACGTACCTAGGAACGAACCCGAGCGAAGTGAGGGTGAGTCGCTAGTATATTATAAAAGTGCACAGAATAACAATGTACTATGAAATTATTCCAAAAAATAGGTTATATTTATTTATTTAATTACTTATTATTTTAATGGTAATAACTATTTTAGGGCATTAAATAAATATGTCATAAATGCACATATATCAAACGAATTAAAATAACCGTGCTATTGTGGATTCAATGTATTTAAATTATAAAAATCATCACTCGATCATCGTAATACACAATTAATGATAAAATGCTTTTTGTGGACAAGACGAACTCTTAAAAGACACTATATAGTACAAAACATCCCAGGAGGAAATACATCGTAAAACTTCATTTACCTGGCAGAAATAACACTTAGCAAATGAAATGCGAAGAGCAATAGTAATTAAGTAAAGTGATGACACAATTTTCCATAATAAAAATGTTTGTTGGGACGCAAGTAAACGATGCATTTTAATACTAGAGAAACTACTCTGAATTATAGCTTTTTAATGTCTTCCCACTATTATCTAGAAGATTGCTTTAAATCTCCTTGTCTTTTTTACTGAGCAGAAAAAATTTAAATTTAAAAAAAGGCACGATAAAAATGTTTATATATTGTTGTATAATATTTTAATTAACAACATTAAATAAATTGTATTCCATTAAATATCTTATATACGTATAATGTCAACGTAACGTTGATATAACCAGCTTAATATCGCATTCCCTTTGATTAAATTCATTTAAAAGCAACAAACCAATCTAATACCTAATACATTTATCTAGCAGCGTCCAATTCATATTGACATCGGTACAGCATTGTGTAGTGGCAATATCCATTTTCTCCGCCAATTTGAGGTTAGTGGAAGATGTCTCGTTATTTTCACGACAATCGTCATTTATGGTACGCTGAATAATTGGACAGGAAACGGCAGGCGTCACGTCAAACCCGTAATAGCCTGTGCTTTTGGCAAACATGCCGGTTGTAAAAAATATAAATATTTACCGCAAAAAGCTTTTCTGTTACGGTTATGTCAAATTTTCTTTGTACAGATTTAAATATCAGATAAAAGGACTGATTGTGACGACAGTGATTTAATTATATTGAAATTAGTATTTGCGTACCTATAGTGGACTCTTAGCGTTGTATATAATAATAATAATGAAAAGTCTAATAAATACACTTTGATGTAAAACATTTAAGTCTGACCAGTACAGTATGGCCAGGCATTAAAGTTTCTATATTTATAAGTGACGAACATTTTTATGAAATACAAATTGGCCAAATAAGCACGTCGATCAATCCGCACGTGGAAAAGAAAAAACTTAAAGATTTCGTTATATTTTTTCGTTTCGTAGTATTCTCTTCAATACGAAGGATGCCATAGTCCACCACGCTGGCCAAGTGCGCTTGGCAGACTTCACATGTCTTTCAAAACTTACTAGATTCTAGCAGACATGCATTCTTCGCGATGTTTTCCTTCACCGTAAAGCAAAATATAATAATCATGTTGAAAATGATTCGCACAATGAAAATGATTTGAACTCGTTTCACTTAGTTTCCCAAGCAAGCGCGTTAACATTGGTCTATCACTGCCTTAACAACATAATATGTGAAACAAGCGTTGGTCACATCAAAGACTTATCGGAAATTTATAATAGCAAGCGATAAATTACATGCGTTTGATATATGAGGTATTCTAATTGTATTGCAGCTAGCCTTAGCTTTACATTACGTGACAACAGCAGATGCGACACTCGTAGATGCACATATTTCATGAATTGTGAATATATGCGGCATTTATAGATTTTATTTTGTTGTTACTACGGTTTTCAATACGTGATAATATAATATTATTTAAGAAATATGCCTTTGAAAAATATTTAAATATTTTGATTTAATAGTAAAAATGAGTGTCCTTTTAATTTATGGCTGCCAACCAAAATAAACAAAGCTTTTCCAACGCCCAAGAATCCATTAAAACGTAAAACTACGAATAGAAAAGTGAAAGACAATAAAAGACAACGAGCCGTTTAATTTTAAAGTAAAAGCGCTTAACTGAATAAAATAAAAGAGTTACTAACAGCACGCGGTCTAGCGGAATATGTTCTTGATCTACGAAATTATTCCCGCGGGGTTTGTACGATGTACTACTAGCAATTGTACTTTATTTATTTTTATTGTTGATCCGATACTGTTCTTATATTTTACTACATACAAAAAATCTCAAAGGATACATGTAATATATGAATTTTGTTAAGGTTAAAGTTCTTTAATTTATTTGAAGAATATATAATACTTTGGCAGAGTTTGTTCGTTTGTTTGTTTGAACGCGTTTATCTCCGGAACTACTGATCCGATTTAAAAATTATTTTTGCATTAGATAGCCCGTTTATTGAGGAAGGCTGCTACCCAAGCGAGCGGAGCAGTATTGATTAACGCGGGTGAAACCGCGGGACATAGCTAGTGGCTAATAATGTTCCATGCTTATATACATTGGACAAATGTTTGCAATAGTAATAAAAGTAGACATTTCTTTCAATCTTATTAAAAAATTAATTTCAAAAACCACCTTACATTTATCACTTTAAAAAAATATAAATAACGTAGAAAATACTGACAATATT